ACTGTGATAATAGGCAAGTGTCATAAGGTTGTTCTTTAGCTTCTAAATTTTATAAGAGTTATATTTCTGGATCCTTTATTTGAAAAAATCTATTAAGAAGTCTCCATATTCCCACAGGAAATACAGAAAAATTCAGTCAAGCCTTGCCACTGCCCACGTTTCAACACAAAAGTTATAAAATGGATCAATCCCTTCTTAAAATTATATAAATCCCAGAATTAGAAAGATATTTTCTTCTCAGAGGGGAACACAGAGTAAGTAAGGGTTCCTCCTACTAAACTATGTCAAAGACATACAAAACCATTTTCAGTGTAACACACTTTAAATTATCCAACGTCAATATTTTCCCTCTCAAAAAAGATATTGAGAGTAACAATGGAGCATAGTTAAGATACTATCACAACCAGGGAAGCATAGCCCTAAATCATGGATTGGATTCACAAATCTTTATAACAACATAGTGATAAATTCAACTGCATGAGGTAAAAGTGCTTTAGAGAAGGCAATGTATATGTGGCATTTGGGTTTGCAAAGAAGCAGCTTAGTAGATAAAAAATAATCTACTTACCATAATATAGGCATTTCTGTTTAAAAACTTTACTACTTTTTCCAAACACCAGAAACAGCATTTCAGGCAGCATTGTAGCAATTTAGAAAACTTGTTGTGAGCATCTATGAAAAAGGGGGATTTAAATCTATTAATAATTGTAACTGAACCCTATGAATCAAAATAAATAACAAAATACTTAAAATGGGCTTTAAAATTTTTATCGTGATAAAATATACATAATATAAAATTTGCCATTTTAACCATTTTTAATTGTGCAATTCAATGGCATTGACTACATTTACAATGTTGTGCAACCATCACCACTATCCATTTCCAGAATTTTTGTCAACTCAAATAGAAATTCTGTACCCATTCAACAGTAACTCCTCATTCCCCGTTCCCCTGCATCCTAGTAACCTAGATTATACTTCTGTCTGTATGAATTTGCCTCTTCTAGGTACCTCATATAAGAGGAATCACATAATATTTATCTTTGTATCTTGCTTATTTAACTTAGTATATTTCAATGTTCATCATTTCATCCCTTTCTAAGGCTGACTAATATTCCATTTTGTGTGTATAATTTTATTTATCCATTTATCTGTTGGTGAAAATTTGGGTTGTTTCCACCTTTTGGCTATTGTGAATAATGCTGCTGTGAACACTGGTGTGCAGGTATCTGCATCCCTGCTTTCATTCTTTTAAATATATATCTAGACGTGAAATTTCTGGGTCATATAAATTCCATTTTTAACTTTTTA